GGGGAACTATCCCCGCCAAGAATAGCTTTTACAAGCCTAAGTCTGCATAATTACAGACATATTTTCCAAACTTTTATGTAGGCATCTGTCCAGAATCAGCTACTGGGAAGCAACAAAAGCACCTCGTCTACTGTTTTGTAGTAAACGAAGGACATTCTTTTTTCTTATGAGAGTAGATCTCTTCTTAATCTACTTTCTTGTTGTCTCACACAACAAATTACATAAAAATATTAAAACCAGCAATAAATTCACTAAAAGCTCATTGGTGTATTTCTGTGCCAGCGAGCTCTACTGTTGTCCAAAAATTAGAAAAGAAACACATCTGTTAGCCGTGATGTCGCCCTTTGTTTAAGTCCCGTATATACAGTCCTCTCCATACACCACAGGTGTCAAACTCCAGGCCTCGAGGACCGCTCTCCTGCTTGTTTTCCAACTAACCTGCCCTTGTAGCTTCTTACTGGCAAAGCACACCTGATCCAGGTAATCAGCTGCAGGTAGGGCAAGGATATCTCTGGCCCTCGAGGACGGGAGTTTGACACCCCTGCCTTACACGCACTGATCTGCAGTTGAAACTAGTCCCCAGCAAGTAGAATATTGGCTCCTGTTGCAATGTTTGCCATGCTCAGCTGGTTTAGTAAACTATTTTGCATATTTGTTTGTCTTTTGACCATTTTCTAGCTGCACATATTTGAGCAGAATCTAATGGATTTGAACCCTGAGTACCACACGCTGTAAAATCAGTGCTGAGAGATGGTTTAAACATGGTTTTGCTGTTTTTATGGGCTTTGTTGACATAAACATAGTTTGGAGGATGCTGTCTTATACACAGCTGAGTGAATTGTACTCAGTCTGGAGTGCGGTTGATACACAGCCATCATTTTTCACTGTAATCTTTGTACCTGTTAGAGCAAAAGGGCAGACAAATAATAGAATGTGCATTATCAAAGCATTCAGATAGTTGTTCTAACATTTTATTCTTCAAAAGTTCAATTTACAGTCTATATCTGACACATCTGTCTTGTACTGAGCTGCAATTTTCCTCTTCTCTTTACACAGGGCATAAAACAATCTACAAACCACCTCGGCTAAAGCTCAGCTAAAACCAGTCCCTCTGAAACTCTTCTTTAGTCCACCTTAACACTTCCTTTGCCTTCATCTTTCTCTCCCCTCCAGCACATCCGTGTGGGCTGGGAGCAGCTGCTCACCACCATCGCTCGTACCATCAACGAAATCGAGAACCAGATCTTGACACGAGACGCCAAGGGCATCAGCCAGGAGCAGCTTAACGAGTTCCGGGCTTCCTTCAACCACTTCGACAGGGTCAGTACTCGCACTGTGCAGACACACTGGAGAGGTCCGGACATTTGCAGACAGCTTTAGTTTGTTTTAAACTTGTGACTATTTTGACATTTGGGAAATATGCTTTTAGGTTCCTTCACTAACAAATTCGATGCACCTCTCATGTTTGTCTGATAAATGTGAGACTAAACCAGCTAAACACAGAAGAAGAAAAACGGTTTTCCATGTTCAAGTAACCGACATCGGACACTAGCTGGTTAATTAGCATGCTGTACCTCATTTGCATTCAGCAAATGAGATGAAAAGGTTTCAAAGTGCAAGTTGCACAGTTTGACAAGGGTATTAACTCAGACTGTTTCCTGGCCAGGTCTTTGGGGTTTCTACACATACAAGCACCAATAGCAACAACCTCAAACCTCTTTGGGATGTGCCAAAAATTCCTCTATGCAGGAAAAACTCTGAACTTCTGAGGTGCCCTTTTGTGAGCTTTATGAGCTCTAGGCTAACCATGTACTGCCTCTACTATTAGACAATGCATTTTTCCGAAATGTCAAACTATTCTTCTGCAGATTTAAGTAACAGTGTGGCATGTGGAGTCACTCATTTTTCTGTATATTCAGACATCATCAGCAAAGCAAAGAAGATGAGGTGAGGCTGTATAACCTAACCGGTTTGAGATAATTTTTTTTTATCCTGTCATGCTGCCCGACGTGTGGCTAACAGCAATCCTTTAACCAGAAACTTGAAGAAAATGAGTGTGTAGAGTAGAGTTGTTTGTGGAACGCGTAAGGGTGCACCCAAGGGTTATGGCTGGGTTGAAAAGAGACTTACAGTTCAGTGATGCAACATTTATCTTTAAAAGCTTTCAGACATTTTTGGAAAAGTGGTAGTCTGGCAGAATGAGCCTCAAGGCTCAGCTGGATGCTTTTGTGATACGTGAAATTAAGATGAAACAGAAGAGGAATATTAAAGTTCACATTACAGGCTTTCCTTGCATAGCTGCCTCTGTAAAGCTCCTTCTCCTATCTCCAGAGCTTAGTGTTTACACTGGCGCAGACATGTCAGGAGCAGCATCAATTATGGATGAGATTTTATTTATCTCCACCACCCCACCCCCGCACATTACCATAAGTTCATGCCTTCATCCGGAGCCATCCTATTGTTAATCAATACCCGAGCTCAACAATCAGAGTCCGCAGGAGCACAAATGTAGACCTCGTCCTGCTTTGGTTTACACATGTTTAGCTGAGCTTTCAGCTGAACATGAGTTGGTAGATGTGATGGGGACCTAAAGTGCTGCAATTATCTGCTTTTTAAAGTCTACTGAGGATAAAAACAAAAAGTATTTCCTGGTTGTCTCAGGATTCACATCTTTCTCTGAAGGTTTTCTTTGTTCATGTTTAATGAACAGCTTTTCTGACATTGCTTGATTAGCCAGCTATTAAGCCAGATTAGCCAATACTGAAAGAAATAACTGAATAATGATGGTGGTTACAGCTTCTCAAATGGGAATAGTTGAGGTTTCCTTCATCTTCTCTCATATTAAACTGAAAATGTTTGTTTTCAAAACCCAAACTGACGCTCTTAAACCATCTGATTTTGTGATTTAAAAAAAAAAAAAAGACTTATGATTGTGAGAAGTGTTTTATGACGTGCTCACTCCAGTGTTCTGCTGTAAAAAGAAAGCTCTGCTTCTAAGAAGGATAATCATTGTGTTGCTAAGTACATGTGCCATCAATGATATCGATAACCTCTCCACAAGGTCCCGTAGTCTGCCTGCCACACTGCACATTAACGCCTCTGAATGCCTCGCCAAGCATGGCAGCACTGCTGCCACCGTGTGTTCACCTGCCAGATCCTAATGAATATGCACTGTGTTCTCTGTTTTCTATCTCTTGTGCATGGCCCTCTTCACCCCCTCACCTCATTTTGCCCCCACCGTGCATGGTGCACTACCCCCTCCCCCCACCCACTTCTACTCCTTCCCCACCAACACCACCTCACCTGTCCTGCCCCCTTCCACCACCACTCCCTCACCTCACCACCACTGACACCCCTGTATGTGTTGCTGCATGGCCTGTGGCCCCGACGCCTCGCCTGGCACTGGCCTCCCACACCCCAGGACCACTCGGGCACTCTGGGCGCAGAGGAGTTCAAGGCCTGCCTGATCAGCCTAGGCTTCGATATCGCCAACGATGCACAGGTACTTAATTGTAGCCACGCCCTTGCGGTGAGAGGTTTAACTGGTTTCTTTTTTTTGTTTTTCCTTGGCTTTTTCCCCCTTATACTTCAATCCCTCCCCTTCTATTCTATTCTTGCTTTTCTTCCTCCTCTCTACATGTCCCTCTGTGGTTTCCCCCTTACCTTGCAACATCCACATCACGGATTGTGTGGATTTCTTCCTTAATTCTACTCTTTTTTTTAACCTTTAATGCTTCACATGGCTATCCCTGCCCCTCCTTCTCTGTTTCTCTCTTTTCCGCCTGGTTTTGTTTTCCCTCGCTGACGTCTTGTAGAAGAGAACAGGAATCATGGACCCTGAAGACTTCAAAACCTGCCTTATCTCCATGGGTTACAACCTGGTAAAGCCATGTGCAGTTTTCAAGTATGACCATTTGTTTATGTGTTAGTAACGAGAAGCGGTAATGAGATATTTTTTTTTACCTTAAATATGATCAAATACTCTGCTGTTGATGTTATTTTGAGTGCAATTCAATTTATTCTGAACTGCTTAAAATTTGCTTGTTTATTACATAGTTGCACATTAACAGTAGGACAAATATATCACTGCATGCAGGGTGTCAGTCATTTGCTGTGCTTTGTGCATCGTCTCTCATACAGCCTCTCTGTTACCACAGGGTGAAAACGAGTTCTCCCGCATCATGAGCATAGTGGATCCCAACAGAATGGGCCTCGTCACCTTCCAGGCATTCATCGACTTTATGTCCCGCGAAACAGCCGACACAGACACCGCCGACCAAGTCATGGCCTCCTTCAAAGTTCTGGCAGGGGATAAGGTAAAGTATTATATTAAACAACACACAGCCTATATATATTGGTAAAAATTAAACATAGATCATTCTGAAGCTTAATCCTTTAGAATTGCACTTGAAGTGGTCATAGTTAATAACTGAGAGCTAACAATGAATGGCATGACTACCATAAGTACACAGGAGATTATCAGCAATATCTGCAATACATCTCAGCTCTGCAGAGCTTTTGACCATCATCGTCTGGTTTCCTGGCTATTTCTATTAGCTTATGTTCTATTAGCTCACTCACCAGTGTGTCAATGTGTGTGTGAATGGGTGGATGACTGGTTGTGTAAAGTGCTTTGGGGTCCTTAGGGACTAGTAAAGTGCTATACAAATACAGGCCATTTATGTTTGTCTAATTTTGGAACATCTCTTGTTTGTTTTTGTCATGCCTGTTAGAATTACATCCTAGCTGATGAGCTCCGCAGGGAGCTGCCTCCAGACCAGGCCGAGTACTGCATCGCTCGCATGGCCCCGTACACTGGCCCCGACGGTGTCCCCGGAGCCCTCGACTACATGTCGTTCTCCACCGCCCTGTATGGAGAGAGCGACCTCTGAACACTGTCAGTCGTCCTGGCGCGGGACCACCAGCCTACTCTAATCAACCGCCACGTCCTCCGAAATGCCCAGTCACCACCCTCCTGTTCATTTTTTTGGTTTTTTTTGGTATGTCTCTGGCCTTATCTTTTTGTCATTATCCTATGTCTCCTCCTGCTTTTCTACCCCTCCACCTGTCCAGCCTCTCCACCGCTCCCTCACACTCTGTCTCCGTTGTATTTGCTTCCCACGCAATGCAGCAGCTCTCCAGGTTTACAAAGAGGGAGAGACAAAAATATTTTTTCTGTTTTTATTTTCTTGTTGTCATTGTTTTTCTTCATGAAATGAATAAAGTTAACATATTTTATTATACTGAACAAAAAAGGTATTTTTCTTCACCTGATTGAAAATAAGAGACAACAATTGTAATAAAGAAAAAAATGCTATACTTTCTCTTCTAATTTTGTTTGCTCCAGGAATCATCAGTGGCATTTTTTTTCCCCAAAGAGGGTTAAGTGGGGAGTTTGTGCCTGTAGTATATTTTCTCACATCTTTAAACTACCTGTATGACTCCTAAAATCCAAAGAAAAGCTGGTAGCCAGTATGTGTGTATATATAGACGTACATTTTTAGGCCATCTACTCATCGGAAGGTTGGTGTATTCCTGGCTGCTCCAGTCTGCCTGCCAATGTACCCTTGAGAAAGACACTGAACACCAGGTTGCTCTCTGATCCATCAGATTATGAATGTATGTGAATGTTACACAGAAACTAGAAATAGTGCTCGAATGAATGGGTGAATGAGATTTTTATTTTTATTTTTATTTATTTATTTATTTTTTTTTTTACACAGAGCTTTGATTGCTCAAGTAGAGTAGAAAAGCCCCATATAGCAACCAGTTTAGTTACCATAGATGTACATAAAATGATCATTAAAATTATTCTCGATGTCACACATTAGAAAAATAAATAAAAAAATGGAAAAAAAATAAGTGGGAAAAAAAAAGGGGGCACACCGGAAAAGAGCCAGAGGCAGGTTTCGCTTGTTAATAATAATTATCCTTGCGTTATTTGTCATGGCCTAGAGGTGAGTGAGACAGTTCTGATAAATTTGACGTAGAGCGCCACAATAATCCACAGAGAGTATTCCTGTTAAAAACAATAGAAACTCATAAGTCATATACAGTGGCTTGCAAAAGTATTTGGCCCCCTTGAACTTTCCCACATTTTGTCACATTATAGCCACAAACATGAATCAATCACATGAAAAACCAATACAAAGTGGTGTACACGTGAGAAGTGGAATGAAAATCATACATGATTCCAAACATTTTATACAAATAACTAACTGCAAAGTGGGGTGTGCGTAATTATTCAGCCCCCTGAGTCAATACTTTGTAGAACCACCTTTTGCTGCAATT